TGAACAGATTGGGATCAATAAATTAGGGTCGTTCTCTCACTCTCTCTTGGCTACACAGAGGGTTTGAATGGATTGAGTGAATACACAGAGAATACTGTTGTTCTTGTCTACAGCTTAAGTGGCTTGCAGTAAGTCCAATGTCTCTTTTGGGCTCACAAATAGAGACAAAATCAAATCCCATAAGTTTCAAATGCTTCCCATTTAATAAAGAAGGAGCTCAATTCCTCTCTGCTGAATAAATGGCCGAATGTGCCAGCAACGGATGGGAAAGCATACCAGTTGTCAGAGAGACCATCAAATGGCCAGTCTGACTAAGTTCCAATCTGGTTCCAGTGGCAAAGCGACTTATTGACTTGGCCTTGGAATATTTTCTCTGAAAAGATCTCATTAGGTGTAATGGGGAAAAAGAGCCTCTGGGAATAAAATGAATGGCAGGGCTAATTGGGAACACTCATGATTGCTCAGACTCAAACAATCACAGGGCATAAATGTACTGAAATATGACTGATTTGAAGAGGTTTAACCAATCAACATTCTCTTGTAAATTCATGTTTTCCTTTGAAATACTCTACCCTTTAGAGGTGTTTTCTCGCAAATGATGACAGGGTGTAACTGTGCCATACTTTGTGGTTCAACATTTTAACTGTTCCACAAAAGGAAAAATATATATATTTTGTGATATTTTTGTACAAAAGATAAAAGAAGAAGGTTGGGAGGGGAACAAGCTGGCGACAGTGATGCCTTGGAATAAGTGAAGGACAGCACCATGGGGTCTCCAGTGAGGAAGTGCACAGACCAACTCAATTTCACAGACACGGGCTGATAGTAGGACTTGTCTAATGAACAGAGCACGATTTGTTAATGGCTGCTTGTTGGAGTTATTAGCCCGAGGCTACGCTAGCAGACGGGGGTCACACAGGTCAAGGAGAGAAAACGGAATACCAGGAGACTTGGATGTAAAGTCCATCCCACACCACAGAAACTGCAGTGAAAACCAACAGGCCCAGATAATGATTAGTGATGGGAAGCCTTTCAGCCCAGACCCACCGAGAACACAAACTGACCTACATAAATAAACCTTTAACTAACGTTTAGAAACAGTGCACAGGGGATCTTGGGTAAATGCATCACTCTCAGATGATTTGTCATCAAGCCCTGAAAGGGTGAATCATGCTTAATGTGTGATGCCATCACTCTGCTTAAAGGTGTGACTAATCTGGAACATGCATCATTGTGAGACTTTGCTGAAATAAAAAAAAATTATGCTTGTGTTCCACATTTACCATATAGTTATTCTTCTGTGAGAGTGTTTGGACTCAAACCCACCTACAAAGACACACACTCACACACACAGTCTGAGCAGTGTAGGAAATCACCCAGATGTCTCAGAATCTGGTCATACAACAGGTTAATTGCTGTCTTGTGTTCTTGTTTTGTCTTATAATACAAAATACTGTATGTTTGACTGTCTGTGTCACACACAACAAGTCCTCCAACCTATATGACCCAGGCAAGTCATCTGCCCCTTCCTTCTCATGCAACCCATAAGAACATCTGCAGACATAGCGCCACTACATTACCAGGTGAAATTGCAAGAACTCCACCAACTTGAATAACAAAATATGTTATAATGGCAAACTTAACAGAGTTTCATTATCACGGAAACAGTCATAAACATGACATCAAGTGTAGCCCAGTTCTGTGATCAAGAAAACTGCCATAAACATGCTGTAACGATTATGAAACAGTCATGATTTCACTATGTTTATTTCACTATGTTAGGTTTAGGAGCAAAAACCACTTGAAAAACATCACATGCTCGATTCTAACCCTGTTTGCCTGGCTGAAAGCCCTTTGTGAACCTAGTCATCCACCCTGTCACCTCCTAACAGCGATCTCTATATACTATGTCACCTAACTTACTTTGCTCATTTCATTATTACTAGAGTCCCTAGGGGTCATTTTTTTTAAAGGATGACGGTTTCATCTGTGTATTTGTTTTGGGTGTTCTCTGCCTTCCTAGTGTGAGACAAACTGAGGTCCCTTGCCTCACAACAGCCAGTGTACAGGTCTCCAGTCATTTCACAGACTAATGAAAACAGAAAGGCAGAAAAAGAATTAGTCATGCTAGGGCTTGAAACATCAGTCAGTTAAAGCCTGATGTGCATGCAATTAGATCAGCATGCTGAAATCCATGCCAAACTGAAATGAGTCGTATGATGAGGAATGACAGTGTATTTATGTATTTGCATGCGTTTGTACAAGTTTGAGGAGATCATTTTCCAACTTTCCCAGTGGCAGCTGTGGGTGTGATCATCAGGCCCATCCACTGCTCAGTGTATTGTCTGTCAGATGAGCAAGGCCATATGATAAGGATTTGAGACTAAAGCCTAGTCATTGTTGTGTAGGTACAGTGAGGAGGCATGTGGTTTCTAAACAGGAAAGACAAAAATATTCTTTCAGTGCTTGATTAACTTATAATTGAGTTGCCACAAAGTATGCAGCAATTCTTTCTCTGGAAGACCTTTATCAAATACTTTCTTTTAAATCCATTTCTCTGCTTCCTCAACAGTCGGGGAAAAATAGATTCCCTGCTGGGTGTGTGTGGGCTGCTGACTGAATAACGGAGGCCTCTGGGGAATGAGTTTATTCGTTTTCCCTCACCAAAAAGAGAAATGCTGAGGATGAGAGAGGAGGGGCACTCCTGTGTGATCCAAAGAGCAGCTGGTAGACATATAGAGAAGTCCCAGCCCAGGAAACAACCTCAGGAAATGCTTTATGGATCTCAAAGGATGGTATAATCAGAAGATAGATAACCTGAAATCATTCTGGGCCCTTGAGAAACTCATTAAGCATGACTGTTTTTTGGATAAAAAATGTGGTTAGAATGTCCTCTGTACAGTATAGCAATGAAACAAAACATTGCTATGAACTACTGTATGTCAATACAGTATTCAACAAAAGTGAGTACATCTTTAGTCAATATCACTAAAATGTTAAGTAATTACATATCATGCCCATATAATACAATGTTAATGTTTTTAGCAAAAATAAAGCCAATTAATTAGGAAAAAAAACATTTGACAAATTAAATGATTATGATTGGTCCCTATTTAAGAAACTGCAATAAAATCTTCAGTAGTGACACTCCATTCTTTAATGTATTTAATATTTTGTATGTCCACCTTTTTGTTTTATCCTCCTGGGCATGGGTGACACTAATCTGCACAAATCTATGCAGGGATGTTCTGCCTTTCTTCATCTAGGATTCAAGTCAAGAGACATTTAACCCTGGTTTCAGTTCATACTTCTTTAAAAACTCTTATGTGATTTTTGCAGCCTCTGGGATAACTGTCATGCTGGAAATTTCCCCTCTGCTGAGCCTCATGAGACTAGGGTTTATCTTTTTATTCAGTATTTAGGGATACAAAGTTGTATTCATTGTGCCATCTATAAATGACACCTCTCCTGTGCCTTTTGCAGTCATGCAGCCCTACTCCAGCAGCATTGACTATGCAGTCAATATAAATTGAAAATATAGGTATTTTGAAGTAACTTTTTTTTCCCATTACTTTAATGTAAATATCTAAGTTTTATTTTTTCAAACTGCCTTTAAACTTTAAACTTAAAGTCATTAAATATTTTTTAATGTTCAGACTACTTCAGAACTATTAAAAATGAGTTGTTCTGATAAGCTGAATAAATTAACTGCCAAGAGTTCACTCAGCTCATTTCATGAAGTTAATAAAGTGATAAAACTAGTAGATCTAGCAGCCACCTCCTTGGTGCCATTAACTTTCACATCTTCCAATGCGCTGATCATGTTTTCCTGACAAGTAGGGATGGATATGCCACAGCTATAATAAAGCTAAAAGGTTGGCAGCTTGTTGTGTGTGAAATGGGCTCGGGCCTGTCCCAGCTGTTGGAGAAAAAATATTTATCAGTCTGGTTTCACTGATTTCTTCTTTGCAAATCATCTTAAAGACTCTTAACTCCAAGGTCATTCCCATCTTTGCCACACAAATGCAAATAATGCTCTCTGTAATGATTAATTCAATTTCAATTCAATTTTATTTGTATAGTGCCAATTCACAACAAAAGTCATCTCAGGACACTTTACAAAATAACATGTAGACCTTACTATTATTATTATTAGAAAGAAAAAACCCAACAAGCAGCACTTGGCGACAGTGGGGAGGAAAAACTCCCTTCAATAGAAGAAACCTCCAACAGACCCCGGCTCTTGGTGGGCGGCCTTCTGCCTCGACCGGTTGGGGTGAGTGGATAGAGGAGAGACAAAAGAGAAGAAAAGCAGCAAGACACAACAACAATTAAAAAGGGTGGAAAAGAGGGCAAGGTTATGTCACGTCCGCAAACATCCTGACGATCCTGTCCCGGGATACTGTATATAAAGCTGAAGGTGATGATTTAGTGATGATGACTTAGTATGAGGCTTTCAAGCATTGGATAGTGAAAATGACACTGAATACGGCTGAGCTGACTTTTTGTCTCTGAATACTTATTCAGCACTGTTTCATTTCATTGCATCATGCCATCCCTCATGTTTCAATTTCTAGTTCCACTTTTATGCTACTCCACTCGAGTGTGGGTCTCTATCCTCTCACTCATTTTGCAATTGAGAGCAAGGGCTGGGAGCAGTGAGGCACAGACAGCATCCATTGTTTCCATTTCTATGGCATGCTGATGATCTCACTGGCAGCTGCATGCCAGACTGTTCTTGCTAGACTTCATCAGCTGAGGTGCCCCAGGTAATTACTAGTCCATATTCTAATTACTTATCATTCAGCGTGGCAAAAGCCCTGGAACAACAACAGAAGTGAAGAGAGAGACAATGACAATGAAAGGGGCATTTCTGTGATTCATTGTCCTGGGGTAATTGAAATCACATTTGGATAAGAAGGAAAACAGGATATGTCAGAACATGCTAACTTTAGCTTCTGCAATTGGGACTATGGAAAAGATAAACACTACCGTGGCCAGAGTGGTTTTCATCAAGGAAGAGTGTAATTAGTGGTCTTTCTCAGCCTGTTATCTTTACTAAGTAGTGCAGGTTTCACAGCACTGTTTGTTTTAGGGATTCACATGAGGAAACATGGTCAAGGCAGGTCATGCCCACCAAACCCTGATAAATTCCTCTGTAAATGGTTGACTTTGCCTAGAGATTAGTATCATGTGCATGAGATAAATGATCACGTTGTGTGAAGAAACACTGTAAATATTAACATGGGGTTTATTAAAAAATAAATAGTGGTCCTAAATTAGGCTGTTAACACACATTTTAAAAAGGTTAATTGTAGGCCAAAAAAGCCAATCAACTCACTGTATTTGATTTTGATTAACTTAGAAAAAAATAAGCAGAGGAGATAGTGATTTTTTTTTTAGGAATGGCAGACTTTGCAGCATGTATTGCTTAAGAGTTAACACTCTCCACGATTATTCTTTTTTGGTTTTTGAAGAATCCATTCATTCTAGAAATGACTCTTCAAATTGAAAAATGGAAAAGAGAACAATAAAAATAAATCAAATTAACTTGTCTGCAACAAGTATCCATGCGACTTAACAGTTTAGACAATTTCAAATTGTTAACTTTTTAACTGGTTTCTAAGTTTGGTTAACCAAACTAAGTAAATTTTACATTTTCAAATCTTACATTCTGTACACTCACCATGTTTAAGTTACATTTTTCTAAGGCAATGAGTTTGCACACTTTTTTTCTAAGTAATGTCACTTTATTATATTTTATAATGTTCTCTCATCCAGCAGTAAGGTAAAATTAAAGGATTTCTCAAATGGTAAGATTTAAGGGACTCACTATCTCCTCTCAGTTTTAAACAATTTAAGTTATCAGGCACATATAGAGGCTGATAAACACATGTTGTAAATACTGATGAAATAATCAGGAATAATGCCTGAAGACTGTAGGTAACATTACAGTTACCATAAAGTAATGAGTAATGTTGTATGTATGTGTGATCAGTGGCAGCCGCCTGACAGAGATCCAGTAGTGTTTTTGTTGCATCATTCAGATGCTGTGGCAACTCTATGTGGCTGTCTAATTCTGTCTTTGACAAATATCACAAAGCCAAACCACACATCAGCTTCTTAGCAACTGCCCCTATTATGATCCCAGAGGAACTGTTGGTTTTCAGAACCATGTCTTACCAATCTGAAAACATATGTTACCCTCACAGACAGATTTTCATATTTCCTTGGTAAAATATGTGTAATTCAGGATTAGCTTGTTGAAGTCTATAAGACAATAATCAGGCCATAAACTGGGTAGTCTGGGGGTGTGGCCTCTTTATTTTTGCTGCAACCTTCTGCGCAGAACCCCACTATTCATCCTCTTAAACTTCAAAGAAAGCCATGGCTCACATAGTGAATATGCACAAATCTCCCTCTACTGTGATGTAGATCTGGAATGACAGGAAGAAGAGAAGGGTAAAAAGGAACATGAAAATATGAAATGAAAGCCTGCTCAGATAATTGCATCTGTCCCCCCCTCAAGGACATTAGTCCTTCTGTGTGTTCACTAATAGGCTGATTAACGACCTGGCTAACCCAACCAATGCTGAACCACACTACACCAATTTAATTACGCAGTGAAGAGTACACAGACACTAGCATCACCTCCCCCCTCTTCTCCATGCATCAGAATGATGCAGCATTAAAATGGATCAGAAATCTGGCAAAAAAGAAGAATAGCAGAGTGAAGGAGAATGCCCGGAAATCAAAAGGCTGCCTGTCATGAATAATACAACTGTAGGCCTCAAACAGCAGTCAGGGAATGACAATGAAATAAATAATACATTGATTTCCATGCATCTGAGTTGATCTGTAAGTGCTGCAAGGGTGCTTGGGTTTGTTGCAGCATCACAGACAGGCTTAATGACTGCAGCATGAAGAATTGTACTCTTTTAATACCACTTGTGATAAGTGGGCTTCAGCTCAGTGTGCTCTGCACAAGTGCATCACATTCCTTAGAAAACAAATTATGTTGCAAATGCAGATTTGGTTCTTTCACTGTTTTTGAAATGAGTAAGTTGAAGAGCCCCAATCAGTGTCTGATCTGATTAGTACTGGTAAATCAGCGTGCCCATTAGAGATTTGACTGCCAAATCTACTTCTCGTCATGATCAATAGTACATCAGGGAAAGCCTCAAGTGACAACAAATCACTGTGATCACTTGTAATTTCCTTTGACAAAAAGGCAAACTGGGATAGAGTAGCCTTCAAATCTATGCTATCAACTTTAGTACATGCATCTGACTATGAACAATGGGCTTTCCTTTCAGCAAGACAAATTCTTTCAAGAGACAGGTTGTCCAACTGATAGAAAAAGTAGAAAGGGAAGTCCTGCTTCTTCCTGATCCAGTCAGATGGATGTTCCTCTACAGGACAATATGAACCCTGCCTCCTACTCACCCACAAAGCCAAGAATGTACACAAGAAAACACACTAGCATGAGAGAATGCTCATGAACACACACACACACACACACACCTCTCACACACTGATTAAATTAGTCTGAAGGTGCAACAGGGACCCCAAGCACAATATTTTCATTGCAATAATAAAGGAAAAGCTTGCTTATGGCCCTCCCCAAGCAAATATTTGGCTTCAGGTCAATTCTATCATTCATCCCCTGAGGAATCTGTGGAGGCCAGATTTTTCAGCAATGAAGCAAAGACTGTGGAATAAACAGCACAAAAAAAAACAGTTTGGACATTTACAAGCCATGGTGGGTTTTGGTTAATAAATCAAACATGTTCCACTGGCTTTTGACCTATCTGTATCTGAGGATGGTCAAGCTCCAGTAAACCCTTAAATTTACCATACAAAATTTTCCCAAAATTCCCAGCATTTTCAAGGAAAGAGACAGTTATCAGGTAGGACAGGAAGACAAAGGGACAGCGAGACAGAGAGTGGACACACTTTGAGGTCCATCAGGATGACCGACATTCATCTTCAAAATTGCTGGCTCTCATCCAAGTATAATGGCGAAACTACACCTGCAGAGACTGAAGGACAAGCACAGAACACTCATACTGTGCTCTAATAGCCAGCAGTCATTTCTAATACTGCATATACCTTCAGACTGTGACTCACCCCCAAAACCATACTGCAGACAGCTGTATTGTTTACTTTTCAGATGCCCTTTCCCTTTCCTTGGTAGCTGAAACTACATTTAAAGCATGTCTCTATCTAACTCTAGCCTAAAAGCAATAATTTCTAATGTGGTACCTGTATCCACTCTTTGTTTGAGTCTTCCGCTGGTGTCCATGCATTTTCATAATAGTTGAGTCTGGAGCGCTCTGGGGACCAACTTGGATTGTACTGGGAGGAAGACATGATTTGGTCTGATGTTATCTCTCCGGATTCCATCCCCAAAGGGTCACTACAGTCAAAATCTGAGAAAAAGAGAGGAGGGAGAAGAAAGGGATGAAAAAGGGAGAGAGTAAAATGTGTTTAGATGGATTCTGAGCACCAAAAGCACCAGGAGGTGCATGTGCTACAGCATGTGCTTGTAGTGTCCCCCCGAATCAGAGCTTGTCTCTGTGGAGAAGGACACCACACTCTGGAAAAGAGCAACACATCTGCAAAGCCTTAATAAATTCTGTTCTGTTTCATTATCTTGTTTTTAAAGGAAGTAGGATAAAAGGGCTCTACATTAAGATGTAAAACTGTCTTCATAAAACATTCAGTGGGGGCTAAGTTTGCACCCGTATTTGACATTAAAGTGAGTTTCATTCCGTTATTTTTTTCACTGACCGTTTCCCTTATGGACCTGAGGGCTATGTATCTTTTTCAAATGACTATTTTCCCCAACATGGTCTCTTGGGTAGTAGGTGTGTTTATTTTCTATACTTTGGGGCCATATTTCCATAGACAATCAATGGCCCAGCCACACACGCTGTTCTATATCAAAAGTACAAACCTGGAATCTGGAGCCATTGTTGACTCTGTATTATGCTGGGAGGTAGTAGTAATGTCAGATGCATTAATATTGTTGTTCTGGGGCAACATTTTACCAGCTGTGTCTGGTTTAGTGTAAATAAGCAAAGTGGACATGATGAAGAGTCAGCTTAATGGCAATATACCAGGATCTGTGTCTAAAAGAGGCTTCTGAGAAGACTGTTGTACACAGACTCACATCATCCAGATTACCAGATTGTGATCAACAAAAGCCCAAAAAGCTATTTGTTTGCTTCTAAGAATGGTATCTGATCATGTGGGTGGGTCTTCTGGGTCTACTGGGTCTACTTGGCTGGGTCAACAGCCAAGTACATAGCGAGCGTGGATGGAAGATTGAGGAGAGTGATTATGGGGAATGTGAGTAAAGGAAATGCTGTAAGAACAAAAAACAAGGCCTTCTTTAATCACCTTATTACCTCCTATCAGTGTATCCTTCCCCTTGCCCCACAGAAGCAAGAAAACCCAGTGTATAAAGGGATTATAAAGGATTCAAATGGTACGAGTCAGGAAGAGGACAGAAAAGGTTTGGGATTTTTTATATCTTGGATACCTCTCTGTAGTTGGTGTAAGAGAGCGATTCATGCTGTGTAGTTCATGTAACTTCTTAAGTTATTTGCTGATCACAGGTCAGAGGCATCACTGTGCCTTCTTATTGCTGAATGTGAAATGCTGACTTGAACAATCTGATCTCATGTGTGACTGCACCAACTTAAGTAACTTGGACAAGAGATAATGAGCAGCAGTCATCACTGTGCTCATTACCGTGAGGCAAGGTTGTTTTATTTGCTGTGTGTGTAATCAGCGTCTCTCTGTCCTTTAGGCAAGATAAAACGCTTTTTGGAGATGATTAGCTGATCTAGTGAAATGCATCCATCTTTACTGCTTTTCAAACACCCACTGCATATGTGCGTCTGGGGAGGTCTAGCCCTTCGACAGATTTATGACTCCTAAAACAGCTCATGTTCCTTAATGAAATGTTTAGTTGGACATTTCTGCAGAATGGGGTTAGGGAGTCATGCCCCATGACAACGATGCTGAATGTAAAAACCCTGGGGTTGTGTGTATGTTCAGGGTGGTCACTGGTGGGGAAGTTGCCTTTTGGAGCCTAGTGTGAAAAAGTAGAACTTGTAAACTATGTGAAGTAGACTTGTATGTTGCAACATCTTCAAATTAAGAAGCAAGATGTCTTTAAATAACCTTTAAGCTCTTTTAAACAGACTGGAATTCAACATAACAGGGCCAGATGTCACTTCAGTTGTAGACAATATCTGCTTCTTACATTTAATAACATCCCTCTGGAGATAATTTTTTCTCACTGTCTAATTTCTGTTCAGCTAACCAGTTTCGATTGAGTCTCATCCAATCTAAACTTTCTTCCACTAAACAAATCTCTTGGGATTGGTAAAGGACCTTATACTTGTACAGTATAGTGCTATGCAATGAAGCACACTCAAAGCGCTTCTCACACTATTTGTCCGTTTGCCCATTCACACTCCAAAGCACACACATGCACGCACGCACGCACACACACACACACACACACACACACACACACACACCAGTGGTGCAGCCACCAGGAGCAACTTGGGGTTCAGTGTCTTGCCCAAGGACACTTTGACACATGAACTGGAGAAGCTGGCATTTGAGCAACCAATGCTAGGAGACGTCCCGCTCTTTGCCCCATTCATTTGGAACTTTTACCTCTGTTAAATAAAATTTTTTCAGTCTTTGGCTACCTCTGCTTCTGCTTCCCTGACATCCTCTTCAGTCAGATTTTCAGTGTTTTAAGCCAGCTCACCCTCTGGAACAGTCCTTTCGATGATGGTAAAGTTAGCAGAAAAGCCTTCCTTAGCAATGGCGCTGTCAGTGTTGATTGTCAGTGCCAAGATGCCTGTGTAGGAGATGATCCTGCCCGGAGTGTTCTGCCCACAGTACCTCCCAATGTATGGACCGACTGGAGAGAAAAAGAAAAGAAAAACAGAAACTTTGTTACTTGGGTTATGGGCGCGTTTGTACATAAGCATTCAAAAGGCTAGGTCAGTGACAGCTGCCATTCATTGTAAATAAGACCTGGCTTTGCAGCCATGCACCCCTTGCAGTTTGACAGACTGAAAAAGCTACACTGCAGGGGAGAGCTGAAGAACACCGAACTTTATGCAAATATCCCCTGATGAAGAGCGAGTGACAGCCAAGGAAACCAGTTGTTTCCTATTCCACTAGGTGAAGTTATTTTAATAAATGGAGGAAAAACTTTTTTCCAGATTCACAGTTCTCCACGGCGTGTCTGTAACAAGTTACCATGACATAAAAACAAAGAACGTGGAAATGTGGAAGCAAATCGCCAACACTGTTGATGTGCCTTGTGTCTCATAAAAGAACTCTCCATTCGGAGCAGACTATGTAAATTATGTGTTCAAGGCAACACAAGTCCAAAACTATAGATTCTCCAAAGGCCTGCAACTTTGCATTTGCATGTGTGAATGCTCTGTTTGGGTAGTGGCCATGCCACACATAAGATTAACTCCTCTCAATCCCCTGTGGAGGTGGGAAAACTACTGTCTCAGTGAGGTGCGGCACCGGCTGAATTTTCTTTTACTTGACTCCACAACAAAGAGAAAAGACATTCCATGCCTGCTTGCCTGTCCAACACAAAAAGAAAAAAGTGAAAGTGAAAATGAGACCTGTGGTGTGGACAAGTCTCAGTGTCTGTCTATTTGCTGGCTGTAAAAACCTCAAACATCCCATATTTCAGTTCCCTCTCTCAGTTTTTCAGTAACTGTGCAGATAGGAGGCAGTCCACAGAGCAGACAATAGGGAAAGTACAATAGAA